TTTTTTTTTTTATTGACTTAACAGTGGGCTATGTTACCCGACGTACTGTGTTGGTGAAGTTATCTTTATTTAGTTGAAACGAGAGTTCATATCAATGTTAATGGAGAAAAATATTACGCGTCGTACTAAGTGGTCCTCTTTCAAAAAAACTGTTGAAGATGAAGAGCGCTACAAAGCTGTTGAAGGTTCCTCGAATAGAGAGGCGATATTCCGTGAGTATCAGGAAAGTCTCCCCGAAGAATCTAATTCGGTAAAGTTTTCTTTCTGGTATTACTAGACCTTTTATTTACTTTCACACCATTCATTTTCTCCTCATAATTTGCTTTACTAAGTTTTAAGGGCACCACTCTTTAGTTGCCTTTCTTATGTCACTTTTTTAAGGACATTGAAGAAGAGAACGACCGCCAGAAGAGGGTTGCAGCTGAAGCAGCAATTCAGGAGAGGAAGAAGGAAGTTGAAGCAGAGCTCGGTGAACAGTTAAAGGAAAGGAATAAAGAACACGAGAAGCACAAGTATCAGGAGCATGAAGAATGTTTCAAAGCGCTTTTAGTTGACCTCGTTAGTTTTCTTGTTAGAATTCTTTTTACCACCCTTCTAGTTACTTGACTGCAACTTTTCTTTATAGATAAAGTCTGTGGACTATTCTTGGCATGATGCTCGGAAGGTACTCCGTAAAGATTCTAGATACGAAGATTGTGACCTTTTAGAAAAAGATACAAAGGAACGCCTATTTGATGCTCACATCCAGCATTTAGAAAAAAAACGACGGGAGGTTTTCTTTGGAGTGAGTTTCAATTTGTAAAATTTCTGGAAACTTGTCTGCATACTTTTTGAACAAGTTCACGCATTCTTCGAATTAAACTTTTTTTCAGCTTTTGAATGATACTAAAGAATTGACACCCAATACGAAATGGCGTGAAGCGAAAAAAGTAATTGATAAAGACGACAAATTCAGCAAATTTAGCACTAGTGATAGGGTGTGTTTTGCCTTATTAAATACGCTGTAGGCATAATACGGCTTTGTGTTACTCATTTTCAACGTTTCATCACGGCGTTATTGAATTCAAGATAACTTCTAGAAAGTGGAACGCGATTATAAGGATTGGATGGAAGAAAGGAGAGAGACAGTTTTGAGGGAATTTAGAGAGCTTTTGCGGGAAACGAAGATAATAACTTACAAATCACTGAAAATGATACATGACAATCAGCAACATCTTGCTGATATCCTTGCTGTTCTGGAAGTTTGTTGTTTTGGTTATCACTTCAAAATTCTACTGAAAGTTTCTTTATTTGTGGTTATAATTAAGCAACTCTCTCGCAATCACATGTATCTAGTTGGTGCTTTCAGAATGACAAAAGATATATTATGCTAAATGATGCACCGGAGGAACGTGAGAAGATTCTCGACCAGTATTTGGAAGAATTGGATAAGCGGGGTCCTCCACCACCTCCAACTCAGCAGGAAGCTGAAAGAAGAAGAAAATAATGTTCGTTTTAGTTCAGTCCGTTGTTTGTTGGTTTTGTTTTTTTCTCGCTCACGGCCTTGGTTTTAACTGACTTTTAAAATTACTTCGCGAAAAACGCGCTTTATGACCTGAGGATTTATGGATTCTTGGAACTTAAAAATAACACTTTCTAGCTACGTAGCTTTACTATATAGAACTCTATTTCACAGTTAGTAGTTACATTCGTGGCACTTTTAATACCTCAGACTTTTTAGTACATTCTTTTACCACTTGAAGTAATAATTTTTTGCTGTATAGTTGAAATATTAACAAGTGTGTTAGATTGAATATTGATTTCTAAAGCGAGTATTTCAATGATCTTCACAACTTTTTCCGTTAATTTTTGTTGACTATTGTGGCTTTTTGTACTGGAAAGGCCTTGTTTCTTACTTTCACATTGATAAATGATAGTGACTATATAGTTCTCGTTGTTATTGTTGTTGTTGGAAAGAAGAACACCTTGTTGAGTACTGGGTTTTGCCACTTTTATAGTTTTATGGAAATAGGGAGTTGGATACGCTTTGGGAACCTTCTTGGCTTAACTGTCGACTGTGAAAACGAATTTCAACTTTTCTTAGAGATTTACAATTTGTGAAATTTAAGCTTTGTTGGTTTTGTACAGAAATTGCGAAGTTTGGTGTTTGTTGTTTGCTGATCACTACTTACGTTTTCGTGTGGATACCGTGTTTGCCGCCGTGGAAGGCGGTTCTCGTTTTTAATGATGCATAAAGTGCTTTACAGTTTTTTACCCGTTCTGATTGCGCCTTGCGAAGTATTAGAAGGTTTAATGGTCCGATGGCATTGGATTTTTGTAGTAGGGAGGCATTTCAGCGGCGTAGTGCCATTGGTTTATGTCGTTGTTTTGTAGTTTTTGCACTTGTGTTCTTGATGTTATTGAGTAGCACGGTAGTGACAGCTGGTTATAGTGTTTCTGGCGGAAGGCAGATGGGTGGCGCCAGTACCACGTTTCCAAAAGCTGTTGGCAGGAATTTTTGTAGTGTTGTTACTAGTATTGTTCAAAGTGTGGTTTTGATGAGGCGGACAATTTACCATAATTTTTATTAAGTTTGGCGACAGAATTAGGATGACGTGTATAATTTTTTGGATCACTTGCTATTAACGGTGGTAGTTCATCACTTTGGTTGTTCAGAATACAGACTCATAATCAAATGGCTCGTAGTTGAGTCGTGGCTGTAAAATGATATTTTGCATTGATAAAAGGTAGATGCGATGATGGGTAACTGCTTATGGTTTATTGGTATAGTCTACACTTTCAGTTCGACACGTGTCGGTAATTTTTATTTTAGATTGAATAAAGTATCGAATTAATTTTTTAAGGTTTAGTTTTTGAGAAGTTATTGAGAACCTTGTTATACGGCAGGAAATGGAATCCATTCTTTGTCATCTTCGTAAACTGATTGTTGCCAAGATGAGGTCGTTTTTCTAGCGGTAATTCTTGAAGTATGAATGCATCGGCTGCAGCGAGAACGAGCAATATGGCCACAAAAACGGAAGGGAACATC